TGTCGCTGGTATAGGAGTATGCTACATTTTGTAGGTTTATTAGTTAGTTTTGTTTAATGGATAAAATTTTGTAAATGTTGTGAATACTTTTTGTGGATATATATATATATATATATATATATATATATATATATGTATATATATATATATATATATATATATAAGACAAATAAAAAATGGTTCTATATATTTTGTATATAAACAATAATTATGTTTAGAATTTCGGTAATTGTATATTCCTATATTTAACATATTGAAATATTGAATAATATCTACCAAATACTTTGACCTTGTAGCCATCCACCAAATCGAAATCACAATGAAGGGTTGTTGACGGTTCCTTCCTGCACTTTTTCTTTGAAATTTGGTTATGTAATTCTCCACTTCATTTAAACCTTTCTACAAATATTCTACTTCTTTATCAAATCATCAAAGTTATTCACTTGTACAAATGAGAAAACCATCAAGATTGACTCATCACTCAGTCAATTTGTGAAACGAATTATATTAAAGGTACACTTGCAATATTATTTTATACATATGTGAATACTTCAAATCCCCTCTATCAAATCGAAACCATATTATAGAACATAATATTCTATTCTTTAAATGTATTGTACAGATTTAACATAATGAACAACACTGATAGAATGTGGATGTAGGAAAGAAAAGATCATTGCGGTTGTGTCTCTTCTTTTTTTTATTCAATGTGTGCAAAAATCCGTGGAATTTTCTACCAATAAAGAAAGGTATATAGATGAAGATAGAACCAAATATCCATGTAGCAAATGTCGTAACATACCATATCTAGAACCTGATAAGGTAAAGTATCATTTGTACGAGTCGGGTTTTGTTCCAAATTACTGGTTTTGGTCAAACATGGTGAAACATCCTTTGATGACAATACAGATTTAGGTGCGGATGATACATACACAACTTTGAATGAAGACCATGAATCTACTTATATAGAAATGGTTACAGATGCAATGTATCCGGATTTTATTAGTAGTAATCCTGATGAGGAGCCAAATGCAGACGATAAATTTTCTTTTGATATGATAGAGGAAACCGATAAAGAGTTGTGGTCTGGATGTAAAAAAAAGTCACACAACTGTCAGTTGTTGCTAGACTACTGAATATAAAATCTGAGTATCGTATCCCTAAACAATGTTATGATGCTATCTACCAATTGAAGAATGATGGTTTACTGAAGGAGAAGAATATGGTGGGTAGTTTATACGAGAGCAAAAAGTTAATATAATCTCTAAGTTTACCTATGGAGGTGATTGACTGCTAGATGTATGCTATATTGGAGGAGAGACAAAGATCTTGATTTGGTGTAAATTTTACAATGCAAATAGGTACAAACCGTCAAAAAAATTGTCCACACGTTCGCATGTGCCCTATTAGAGAAATGTGTTACTTTCCTTTGACTCCAAGGTTGAAGAGACTGCATACTTCACAAGTCACAACTGCATCCATGCGATGACACTCTGAGAATTAGGGACATGATGCTGGTATAATGTGACATTCATCCGATTCTGAAGCTTGGAAGAACTTTGACCAATATCATCCTTCATATGCAGCCGAAATACGTAATGTTAGATTAGGCCTATGTATATATGGTTTTGCACAAAATGCAGCATTTGGAAACAATATTCATCTTGGCCTATTATAATAACAACTTACAATTTGCTACCTTATATGTGAATGAAAGAGTCTTACATGTTTTTGACCGTATTTATTCCATGACCTACAAACCCTAAGCATAAAATAGATGTATTTCTGTAACCGGTTGTTGTAGAATTGGAATAGTTATGAAAAGAAGGCGTATTAACATATGATATATCTTTAAAACAAAATTTTCAATTACGACTAGGTTTGATGTGGACAATTAGCAATTTTACAGCTTATGCAATGTTGTCAGGATGGTCTATAGTAGGTAAGCTAGCATGTCCACATTGTGAGAAATATACACAAGCATTCAGGCTAAAGCATGGTAATAAGATGAATTGGTTTGACTGTCATAGAAGATTCCTTCAGGATAATCACCCATATAGAAAGGATAAGAATAAATTTAAGAGGAATCGTGTAGAGATAGAAGGTCCTATTCCAATTAAGAATGGTGAAGAAACTTTAATGGAAATTGAACAATTAGGTTTGTAAAAAGTGATTGAACTAAATGTTGATGATTTGAACAATTCATGAGGCAATCATGGCCGGAAAAAGAAAAGCATATTTTGGGATTTACCATATTGGAAAACAAACCTCATTAGACAATATTTTGATGTTATGCGCATTGAGAAAAATGTATTTTAGATTTTTTTTACATTGTAATGGATGTCAAAACGAAAACAAAGGACAATGCATCAACGAGAAAAGATCTGAAACTCTATTGTGGGAAGAGAAAAGGAGTCGAAGAAGATAAAAGAGCGTATTATGCTCTAGACAAGAATCAAAAGAAATTCATATGTAAATGGGTGAAGAAATTGCGTTTCCCCGATGGTTATGTTTCTAATTTGGGGAAGTATGTAGATTTGACATTGTGTAGATTGTTCGGAATGAAAAGCCACGATTTCCATGTTTCTATGAAAATATTGATGCCAATTGCATTTCGTGAGATGTTGCCAAAATATGTGTGGGAAGCATTAACAAAGTTGAGTCTTTTTTTCAAAACATTAACTACAACATCAATCGCTAAACAAGAAATACAAAGGACTGAAGTTGATATCCCAATAATTCTATGTAAATTAGAGACCATCTTTTTCCCTGGTATTTTTAACTCCATGGAACATTTACCGGTACATTTTCCATACGAAGCGAAGATTGCCAGTCCCGTCCAATATCGTAAGATGTATCGGTTTGAAAGGTTTGTCTTATTAAGTCAAAATGTATGTTGCTATTTTTGTAAGTCGTAAGTCTAACTTAATTTACATCTATTTTACTACAGATATCTCAACTAGTAGAAAAAAGATGTGAAAAATAAAGCTCGAGTGGAAAGGTCCATTGTTAACGTGTACTTGCTTCGTGAAGCATGAATATTTTTCTCTCATTATTTCGAGAATGGTGTTCCCACACGTAACAAAAATTTGTCTCGTAATGATAATGGAGGAGGAGATGAGCAACCTGATGATGATGACAATGACTCTTTAGATATATTTTCATATTCTGATCGTGATAATGGAAAAATGAAGACTAGAATGTTGTCTGATGAGGAATTCAGTGCTGCCCATTCGTATATACTCCTTAACGAAGATAAGATCCAACATTACATTGGGTAATATATACTTCACTTTTAAGATCAACAATAATATTAATTTGTTGTTTAATTTCTCTGAATAACATTTACATGCTTTTTTAATTACATCATAGTAACTTTGAATATGTAATTTAAATGGTAATACATCATATTTGAAGATCACTTGAAAGATCTTATTGGGGGACATAGATCAATTAGAGCTTGTAGCTGAAGTTGAAAAGAACTTTGCAGCATGGTTCTTAAATTATGTGGGTGTTAATGTTTTATTATTACTTGTTATGGTTATAATTCTTACGCGCTTCAACATTTGTCATATAGGCACATAAGAACGGGATAAAGAACAAGTATATATTTGACCTTTCCAAAATGCCATTGAAGATAGTCAAATTATATAATGTATACTTTGTCAATGGTTACAAGTCTCACACAGAAACTCACGGTCTGAACAAATCAACAATGAATAGTGGATTATGTGTTAGTAGCCTAAGAGGTGATTATTATGGTAAGGTATAAAAAATTTAGAATTCTAGTACCCTGGTTACCCAAGGAAAAGCACATATTTGTTGAAATTTCATTGCTACGGTCCAACATCTAACATAGGAGTTAAGGTTCACAAATAATATAACTTGGTCGAAATATACGTCAAAAGAAAATACAACAAGTTCGAGCCATGAAAGCCACTCAGGTGTGTTACATTCCTTACCCAAGTTTGAAAAAAAACAACTCGGACTGGTTGGTTGTATTTAAAGTTAAACCTTTGTGGTTGCACTGATGTACATGAAAATGATAATAAAAAAGACGTTTTTTTTTTGGAAAGGGAACTTCCCTAACGAGGGTTTTTAGGCCAGCTTTCGCGCACCGACTAATCCCCCACTGCAAACATGAGTCTTTGCCTCATGCCTTGGAGTAACTGCAGGCGAACCTCCATGGCCACAAGAGTTGAGTAGTTCCACGATTTGAACATGGGTCAATAGGTTATCCACCATATCTTCCACATGCCTTACCAAGTCACCACAACCCAAGTGGTTAAAAAGACGTTGCTTTCCAAGAGGATGAAGTTATATCAAATGAAACCGTTATCCCAACTACATATATACAGACGACTATGATGATCAGGACATGCAAAGCAACAATTTAGATGATGAAAATAGCATTGATGAAGAAGGTGAATTTCATGATGACAAAAATGATGGTATTCTTGACAGCGAGGGTAGTTATGAGTATAGTACATCGAGCAATGAAGAAGAAGACGAGGAGGAAGAAGATATTGAGTAGATCTTATTGTTTCTTTAAGGATGGTTACATTGTCTAATTTTTAGTTTTTGTATGAGAATTGTTAAATGTGATGTTATGTATTAGTGCCCTTGGAGAGAATTAAATGTAATTTTATCATTCTTTGGTACATATCAAACATTAATACAAGGAGACAAGTGTTTTGAGATATTTGTATGTACAATATTTTTATTAAATATCCAATGAAACCCACTTTTAAGTTGTAATGCAGTTTCTTTAATTTTGGAATGGTATAAACTTATTCAAGATAAAATATACATAACAACCAATGTTTCTTCTTTCATGTAGCAGTTATACATATATAAAATTCAACCATAAAGCAAACAAAATATATTATCACTTCATAAACATATCATTCAAACCATTGCTTACCAATTCTATTGATCATAATAACAATTCCTCTATTTGCATTCCAGTCTATACTATTTCAATTACATAAATAGGAAAATTAAGCATACAACATCCCAACAAAGAAACAAACCAAACACATCATCTTGAACTTGATAATTCCAACTTGACCACCTTCAACTCGAGAGCCATTAACATGTTCATTAGTATCTTGAATAACAACTTGAGGCGGGGCTTTATTGACATGAAAATTGATAGGAGCGTTGGGGGCATCAAAAATGATATGTTCACCATTGGCTTGAGCTCTCAATTCGTACATCTTCTCTCTATACCACTTGTTCGGGTGTTGTGGGTCAATCCAACGAAAAAGCCCATAATTTATGTATTCATCATTGTAGTTTGTGCAACCAATGAACCTCCGAACAGGATTCTTTCTCGTCCATGTCATCCACATTCCAACCGTATCACCACATCCACACAATCTCAAGTTACCGCTTGAAGACGACGACATCGATTTTCCCTAATTTCTTTTCTTCTGCTTGTGGGTTTGCGAATATGGGTGTTGGAAGGCCCGCTTTATTCATATAAATTCCATAATATGGCATTATAATATAAAATACTTTACAAAAAAGTAATTACAAACAACTTAGCTAGGCTTTTTTATCCATAACAAACAAGCAACGAATATAAAATTACGTAGCACAATTCCGTAGGTAAATAGCTATGAATGCTACTTCTATAGAAAAGCAACTACAGAATTTTATTTCGATGAAAAATTATGTTGCATATTAACCATGATATTTAATTTTGTAGCAAAATTACAACGAAAAGTATTTTCGTAAAAAAGTTCATTGCAAATTTGTTACGAATGGTTTTTCCATAGAAATATCGATAGCAATATACCAATGGATTTCGATTCGGTAACAATTTACGTACCAATTCCCATGTTTTCTACTGAATATTATTTCCTTTAAAAATGTGGTAGCAAATTAGCTATGGAACGACATTCCATAGCACGGTTCGTTGCCGAATAACAACAAAAATACGTTCCATAGCAACCTTCCGTAGCTATTTCAGATTTTTCTTCTAGTGATTCCTCAGTTGGAATTCAGAGATACCCGAGAGTACGCTTGATTCCCTCAAGACAAGGCTCTGATACCAACTTGTGACGTGCCAAAATACGAGTAAAAAATTCATTTCAAAACACCCAAAATGACACAACCCATTGTTCCAAAACCATCCAAAGTATAAATATTCTCAACATCAGAGTAAATGAAATAAACAGTGCAGAATAAAAATCTAGGGGATGTTGTGCGATCATGTCGGGTTCTTCCCTTTGGAACCAGAAGTACCTGAAACATTTAAACCACAAAACTATAATCACAAAGCTTAGTGAGTTCCCAAAAATACCACATACCATACATAACATCGAGCCCCACCCACATAATGGGCCTTGCCCAGTATAGCGGACCCCGCCCAACATAACAGGCCTCGCCCAATATACAAGCAAGAGTCATAAAGACAATCTAGCACTCCACATAGTATATAGTAAGGAAACTCAGCTCACACTCGAATAGGATCAACCACAACTCAAACTAATCAATGAACCGACACTACAACCCACCTATCGAAATATTCAAGATCGGTCCTTAGTCTACCTTCACTAATAATTTGTCCAAAAGTCAACCATGTCAAAAAATCAACGTTCAAGGTCATCCTAGAAGATCCTCACGTCGTGACCATTCATTGGTCACGTTGTGACAGCCTTACGACAAAACAGTCGCGACTAGGCCAGCCACAACATCGTGGCAAACTGCAACCACGTCGTAGGAACTAGGTAGAAACAATTTAATGAATTAAGATCTCATCCCTTTACACCTCCAAAGCTCATATCTGAATCTCCTTAAGGTCTTGATGGATAAATTTTCCAACTTTATCCATTATAAACTCCAATAAGTTAAGATCTCTAATCCTAGGTCCTTATTGATTGCACCAATTGCATGGACACCACCCTAGGTCATGTAAGACCACTTTCCAACCAACACCCTGGTCTAGAAGCTAGATAATGCACTCAAATGCTCTGGAGTTCACCCAAACTCCAAAGACAAGAAGATTGGGACTAAAAAAGCTCATAAAATGATCTAACTCGATACCTAAAGCTACAATGATAAAGGTTAAGACTTTATACCTCCACAATGCTAGAAATGAGATAAAGCTGCTAGATCCAAGCCAAAACCAAGATTCCAAATCACTAGATGGACTCCCTCTTCCCCCAAGCTTCACAAAATGGCTTGACACTCTTTACACACACACACACACAAAGAGGCTAGGTTTTGGGTAGGGATCGTTTTTAGAGGATGGAGGCTGTCAAATGAGGCAACCCTAGGAGTTAGTGACTTTAAATAGGGGACTAATCCCAAAATCTAGGGTTTTGATCCCCAACTATCGTCACTTCGTGGCTAAGACCTTGCCACTTAGTGATGGTTCATAGATGCGTGTTTTCCTGAACCGGGCTGCCACTTCGTGATCATTCAATCACCATGTCGTGGCCTAGACAAAATTCCAAAACATAAATAATGAAACTAAATTCGGAAAAACCATACCAGGAAATGGGTGTTACAATATTTAAGATGAAACTTTTGAAATAAAATTCTAATATGTTTTCCATTGGTGGTAGAATGATTCTCATCTCATTTTGCACATGGTTTTCTTGGTATCTATTATACAACATTGGTTTTGATGTCCATGTAAGTTATAACTCCTTTGGAGTCTCCTCGATCAAATTTTATTAAGGGTGGTGATGGAAATACTTGTAATGCTCATTGGTTCAGTTGGGGCTTGGTTATTTCTCCAAAGAAGAAGTTTGATGTTGGCATTAAAAGCTTCAACCATGCATAGATCCAAAAATGGATATGGAGAGTTATGCAAGAGAAAAATGCTTTGTGGGTTCAAATGATCAAAGTTTTGCATGTGAATGAGTTTTAGTTTATAGATGGGGTGAAACTTCATGGTCATGGGGTCTAGCACATATTAAATGAAAATTATATTATATAATTCTCTTCTTTGCATGGAAAGGTTTGGATTGAAAATAAGGTCTTGTTTTGGAGGGGTGACAAAATTGGAAATCTTCCTTTATGTATGTGGTTCCCTACTCTTTTTTTTGGCTTGATAAGAACAATATTATATGTTAAAGGATTGATGGAGTGAAGTTGGTTGGATGTAGCAGTGGTGGAGAGAGATCTGGGTTGGTCAAGAACAAGATGAACTAAACGTAATGGCTAGTCTCTTGGTTGATTTTCATCTTTTTGATGGTTTAGATTTATGGGTTTGGGATTTAAGAAGTGACGACGATTTACTGTGAGGAAGTTAAAAACAGATTGAACTGTTCATTTTACAAGATAGCATTGGGGAAACAAAATGGAACAAATACATGCCTTGAAAAGTGAACATTTTTTCTAGAGACTCTGTATTGATAGTTTATTCACTCGAATTTTTTTTCTATTGAGTTTGGCTTGATAGGTTGCCTACACAATTGAACCTAACTGCTAAGGGTATTGATATCCTATCGATTATTTATCCTTTTCAATTGGTAGCGAAAATCGTTCCTCACCTGTTTGATGAACGTGAGATTGTTGCGAGAGTGTGAAACGTTGTGTCTCGGTGGTTGGAGTTTGACTTCCCTTTGCATGTGTGATTCCCATAAATAGTAAACTTGATCAACTTCTTGCATGTTTTTTGATCAAGAAATGTGTGATTTGTATTATATTCATGACCACTTTTTGGGTGTTTTAGAGATTTAAAAAAGATTGTTTTTCTATTGATAACTAGGATTTTGCTCGTCGTGTGTTGTGTGTTGCGGTGATGACAATTTGTTTTGTAAGTTGATTTTTGACGTTTGCATTGATAAACGTTAAATATAATTGTATTTTTTAGTAGACAAACTCATATGTAGGAAGTTTACGTAAAAATAAGCACAAAAACGTAAAAACATTTACGTCAAAATGTAGACAAACTCGAATTTATACTAACACGTAAATAACAAAAAAGCAAATGATTTTTTAAATTAACGAACCTATATTTTAAATTTACGTCGAAATGTTGACTACCTTGAATTTAAAAAAAATAAGTTTGTAATTTTTTTAAGTTAACAGATAAAAATTATTAAGAAAATAATATTATATACACTACAGATATAAACATGAAAATTTACAAAATGATAGAGAGAAAATTGATATTTTACAAATTCAAAGTCCAGAAATTAAAATGACATTTTAAAAATTAAAGGTATTAAAATAGCATTTTACAAAGTATTTACGGTTCAAAGTGAAATTTTAAACAATATAAAAGTGAGAAGTGTCATTAATCAAAGTATATTATCAAAGTAGATACTGAAAAGTGAATAACGTAAAATATCATTCTTAAAAATAAAAGAGTTACAACTAACGATAAAAATATCTACTGACATTACAAATTATTATTAATATCAATATAATCATGGACATCCTTGAGGATGTACGAGGTGGGCAACCACGCATGGCCGGTGTCGTAGGGAGGTCGAATTTTACATATGATTCGTTACTGTAGACTAGTAATCCAAGCTCGAAAACAAAATTAATTCAAATGTATAGTTACCTAGCCAAAATAACTACACCCTTTGGTTCTCGCCAATCCAAGTTGGAAGTCGCTACGATGCTACTCGTTCTCTTGAACTCGCTAACGCTAAGTCGTTAAGGGTGTATGAGTTTAATTATTCATTTACTGGTTGTTTCAAAATCGGTGCATCATCTGATTCATAAGTCAAAATTGTAAGTTTCAGAATCCAATAAAATCACTCAATTTTAGAATCCCTTTTGGATTCAATTTCAAATTATTGATTAATTGGTTGTTTTAATTTTAGAAATCAGAATCAATTTTCTAAGAAATCTAATGCTCGCCGTATGTGTTTCAATTTCAGAATCAATCAACTTTGTAGCATGTGTCCTATTTCCAAAAAAAATGTGGCATGTGTATTTGATTTTTTAAGTTTCAAACGATGACTTCTCTTAAAATAAGATTTGAACAATATAATAAATATGATATTTTTTTGGTTTTTTGCTTACAAAAAAATTTAAGAAATTTGATGACCAAGATCATAAGTTGTGTTGTAGCCATCTTGAAGCCTCACTTAAGTATAATGAACGATCAAATATTTATGTCAATAAACTTTATTAGTACTTAAAGATGGTTGACGAGTTCGCATAGTGTGAAACTACTAACCACATTGATGTTTTAAAATATATGAAAAAAAATCAGTTGTTTTTCTAAAGCAATTAATGCATATAGAGTCTTGGTGACAATTCTAGTAACTGTTGTGTCTGTAAAAACAAATTTCTCAAAATTAAAGTTGTTAAAGTCTTACATACCGTCCACAATATCACAAAAAATACTTAATGACTTGAAAATGATAAATATTTTCAACAATATATTAGAGAGTAAGGATTATGAAGAACTGGTGAAGAACTTTGCTTCTCG